ATATGTCATTTATCACACCGGCTGCCATTTGATTCACTTTGAACGAGGATATCTAACTTTTTTTTTCCTCTCACACGTGGTCAGAGAATAGAATCCCACCCCCATCACCAGCTGTATTGTTATTTAAGATATGTTTTGGAACAATCCTCGTCTTGTCCTTAAAAAAACAAAAAACATTACAATAAAAACAATATCACAGTAAACATACATATATATATATAACTATTTGAAAGGTTACAAGCGCAAGGAGCACAACATTTAATACGTATTTTTTGTTTTGTTTTGTTTACTTAATTATAACAGTCAAAATCACATTGTTTCTGAACGTTCAAATCGAGCAGGTTTAGTTGTGTTTTTTTGCAGGTACTTTCTATATTCTGCTGTGAAAAATAGCTTGTAATATTTTATAACTTCTGTTGTTTTGTACGCGATATCTTCATTACTATACAAGCATTACACCAGAGGTCGCTTTGTAACAACAATAACTGTGAACTCTACACCAGAGGTCGCTTTGTAACTACAATAACTGTGAACTCTACACCAGAGGTCGCTTTGTAACTACAATAACTGTGAACTCTACACCAGAGGTCGCTTTGTAACTACAATAACTATGTGAAAGAGCTAAGTAATTTCGTGTTTGCTTCTACTGTAAAAAAAAAGTAACTTAAAAACTGTCTCAGGGATGTCTATTGTAAGGAATTTGGACATTTCACGAGCTTGTTAACGGTTGCCAAAGAGGTGATATGTTTTAAAGTGAGGTGAAAACGAACTACCAGTTCTTGTATCACCTCAGGATCAAACTAAATCAAAATAACCCACGCTTAATTGATATATTTCATCTATCGCGTTAGTTAGGCCTATTAGTTACCTCAAAGTGGATGAACTTAACATCAATTTTTTGTAACAATGGAGTTCGCATTAATGTCTTGGAAGACTGGAGAGTATGTGAAAATATAACAATATTTTTTGTTTAAATGGGGAAGCACCGAAACCAATTCAGGCAATCAAACTCAGGTATTGTTTAATATTTTATTGTTCCTTATAAATATAATGTTTTTTTTTTTGTGTGTTAGAGTGATATTTATGTTTCGCGCTAGCAGTATTTGTGGTTGTCCAATGATGGCTGGGTGTGTTAACACATTCCACGATTAATAATGGAAAGAAAATGGATCCTTTAATCACGGTTTGACTGTATTTTTTATCTTTCAGTAAAACGTATGCTGTTAGAATGAACGTGTATATATTATATATATATATGAAAGAAGTCACGTTATAGAATTTTCAGTTAAAGTATACGATCTGTGAATTTATGTTTATCTCAAGCACCTCACTGTGAATTGTGTTTAAAGACGTCATTAGTTTTCAAAATATCCAAGTCAAAATAGACTTAAAATACCGTATGGCTACGATGGTAAAAAATAATAGCAAAGTCATTTCGCTGAAGCTCCTTCAACGTTCCTTGCTTTATGTGTGTTGAAATGACTACGTGACTCCAAATTTTTCAAGTTTTAGTGTTACACCACGACATCTAGTCCCGAACTGTTGTCATGATGAGCAGATATAAGAACTGTAGGATACAGTTAACACTATCACTTGAAACCCTCCTATCACGACGTGACCCGAACATATTGTTTATCAAACATTCGGGGGGTAACAAGTAATTGGAGGGGAACCGGAATTTGGATCAAGAGTTGGGAAACGGACTCAGATGCTCAAATTCAAAACACACACGTATATATATATATATATACATACATAGATAAATAGACACGTCCAATGATCTTTCGTGATACTGAGTCATTTATGAGTTCTTCTTCCCATTTTTAGTGTAAGTTATTAATTAAACAAAGACAAGTGTAAACGTTTACTTTTTTTTTGTTAATGTTCAAGAAACCTGTATCGTAATCTACACATTGTTTACAGGGTAAAAACCCGCTATGAAAATTAGGGGGTACGCTTTAAATAAGAAACTTCATCGGAATGATAGTTATCCTGAGTTGTCATAGTGACAGTTGTCATAGTGACTCGTGCTCAACAATCTTTACAGATAGTTATCCTGAGTTGTCATAGTGACTCGTGCTCAACCATCTTTACAGATAGTTATCCTGAGTTGTCATAGTGACTCGTGCTCAACAATCTTTACAGATAGTTATCCTGAGTTGTCATAGTGACTCGTGCTCAACCATCTTTACAGATAGTTATCCTGAGTTGTCATAGTGACAGTTGTCATAGTGACTCGTGCTCAGCCATCTTTACAGATAATCTTCAGCAGTTATCGTGGGTAGACTCGTGATTGAATTATATTCGACTCCGACCTAGTGGTTAGAAATAAACCCCCCGAGTTGTTTTAACTTTAAAAGATTACATCTAACTACAGAAGGACCTGTACAAGTGCCTTCTTAAGTATTTTTAATAAACAGTCTTTTATACGGTTTTATACTTTCCCACGATTACATTTCGCCAGACACTTCTAGCCACTAAGTCGGAGGCTCTAAACCTAATTATTTTGGAATTGGTTTTTTCTTGCGCATTGACTATTGAGCCAAAGTGGAATATAGGTGGATTCTTGTTTTTGTCGCCTGATTTATTGACCTTACTTTCTCATCCTGTGTCACGAATCTGTATTTTTGACCTTTGAGGATATTTTTTGGAGTGTTTTCTGTGTGTTCGTAGAAAGGTTTAGAAGAGTGAAAAGTGTGTAAAACCTTTAGTTACTCTCGTTATAAACAACAAAACATATATATATTTTACACGATCTTCTCGTGGTTGACGTTTTTCGTGTCGTGTTATTTTTGTATAACTTGTGTCTGTAACACGTTTTCACACTTCACGAGGCCCGTGTTTTAAACGCTGTAAAGACTTGCTTCATTTAGAACGACGACATCAAGTTTTGTACCATTGCCAGCAGACAATAAAAATCACAAATAAATCATTAATTACGATCAAAACGTTAAAAAATCTTCGTGCTCCAAATGTCACAGCGTTACCATTTGTCGAATGAGAAATTTACGTTTAATATATTCGTGTCTTCCTCCAGTTTATCGAATTAGACAACAACTGTAAAAAAAAATATATATATATATATTTTAATTTTCGTTTACTTCTCAGTTTTTCACAGTTTAAGGGCAAGGAAAATCTGGTTAATTCTGATTTTATTCTAACGCAAAAGTAGGTTTAATTCTTCTTAATTACCAGGATATATTGTAAAGGAGCTGTTGTTACTAGCACTGAAAATGTTAATACTTTCTCAATTATCTAATGGAAAAATAAACTGTATGGTTAGTGGCAATCAACTAAGAAAATCCTATAGTAAAGGCAAACAGTTCAATTAAGAAATTTTAAAGCTAAATATCAAATTCATAGAGCAAGGGGCAAGGTTGTTCTGAAGGAGGAGAAGGCGTAGAAATTTGATATAAAAATTGCGATTAAATGTTCTTGCCTAATTCTAAATCAACATTTAAAAACAAATGAGGTATTAATACCTGTCATTAGTAGCTGTGAAATAAGGTATTAATACCTGTCATTAGTAGCTGTGAAATAAGGTATTAATACCTGTCATTAGTAGCTGTGAAATAAGGTATTAATACCTGTCATTAGTAGCTGTGAATTAATCGTAGTTTCTGTTAAACACGACTGAAGTAAAGCTATTTCCTGACTAACAGGTTCAAAAAGGAGTTACGAACGGGAAAATGAATATTTCTTGCAACCCTTGTCTCCAACAGAAAAGAATAAGACACATTTGGATAATCAATGTAGTTAGGAACAAAGAGCTTAATAATTTAAACGGAGACTTTAATTTTATGTTAAAAGTAAAATCAGTTTTCTGGCGTCATTGATTAATAATTCGGTATCAAGTTACGTACTGTTACAATTACGTTCATCTAGCCTAACAACAGTAACTAATACCTTATTACCGTTAACTATAAACATTTGTCCTAGTATTGTAATTTAGAATTAGTGTGTAATTACCTTTTTTCCTTAGATTATGTGATAAACTGAGTAGCTGTTATATTCTTTTTTTCAAAGGAAATCATATTGTTTACAGATATTATAGGGTTAACGAGGCTCTGTGTAGTAAGTAGTTTGGAACTCAACTGAACTTGTTTGCTGCTATTTACTTGAAAAGATTATTTTAATATTGGAGCTCAAATAAAATTAGAACATTTTTAATACATAAAACTGCATAATAATAATAATTGATATTCATAGTAAATAATGCAATAAATAATAAAACAAATCATAGAAAATTAGTTTAAACATCGTATCTACACCCCTGTAGTAGGAAAGTTTACTTTCCGAAGTTACTCAGGTTATTGAGTTTTGTGATTCGTCTATTTATCGATCCCACGTGCTTTCCGAGTATACTATACCCTTGTGGGGATCGCTTGAAATACACGATTAGGTTTTCTTTATCTTGTACGTACGTATGTTAATATAGAAGAACGTGTAACTTTCTGTGAGTATTAGAATTATAGTGTAGTTCGACGTAAGGTAAGGTTGGTAGAAGGTATACTATTTCCAAAACGTTTCGTAGCGCGTTGACTCGTGTTGTGTAAAAGACAAATGCATTACAAATAAAAGTTCAAATATGGAATATGTCTCGCTATAGATCTTACTTTTGAGCATAAAGTCAAAATTATCAATTGTTCTACTTTGTCCTTCATCAAATGTCTAAATACCTTATTCATATTTTTCTTAATATTTCGTACAAATTTATAAACATCAAATTGTCCATATTTGTAGAAACGTTGGTTCCTACCTTAGATTTTTGGTCAAATCAAAATTATAGATTATTCTACTTTGTCGTTCATCAAATGCCTAAACACCTTACTCACATTTGATATAACTTCATAAGCATCAAATTGTCCATATTTGGAGAAACGTTGGTTCCTACCTTAGATTTTTGGTCAAGTGTTGTGGAATGTATTTCCATTTACATTAAAACAGAATCTTGGAAACACAATTCTGACCAGAGAGCTTTACTAAGTACATGAATTCTGTACACATTTTTGTGTGTTCCCAGGTGTTTGGTGTGAAACTTCAAAAACAAACATTTTTTTTATTATTATTGGAGGTTTAATCGTTATACAGATGTAACTCGATCATAATAAAAAATGTTAGTGATTTGTCCATGAATTTGTCTCCTTCTTTTATGTCAGCGAAATTCTTGAGTTTTATTACAAACAAATTCAAACTTGGCTACATTTTTTTATGATTTACAAGTTTAAAGATTATCATATATCTGATCATTCCAAAGAAGACAAACAAAACAAAAAAAGTATCGTGTTTGTTAATCACTAATCGATAAAGCAAGGATCAACTAGCTGCTTAAGAAATAATTTGTGGTGATCTGATGATGACAATTATTATTCCCGGAACGTTAATATGTTATTATATTTTAATAGGCTGCTTTCGTCCAAACCTTATTTAAATAAACATGTTTAGTTGAAGAAGTGAGAGAAAAAAATAAAATGATCACGAAATTACAATACGAACAGTAAACGTGATCACGAAATTACAACACGAAAAGTAAACGTGATCACGAAATTACAACACGAAAAGTAAACGTGATTACGAAATTACAACACGAAAAGTAAACGTAGAGTAGGATTTAACATGACTTAATTCTTTGATATGAAAGAATGAACACACTTTACGGAATGTTATAATTAACACGAAGGAAAGATACATGAACTTTTTAAATCAAAACTTGACGGCTCCGGTTTTGTATCCGCCATTTAATTTTCTAAATTAATCTGATTTGTTTGTTTGTTCGTAGTTAAGCACAAAGGGCTCTGTGTGCTCTGCCCACCACGGTCATGGAAACCCGGTTTCTAGCGTTGTAAGTCCGGAGACATACCGATGTGCCACTGGGGGGGGGGGATTAATTTGAACAACAAGAAACCTGATTATTCGCACTTAGCATAAGAATGGGTTTCATTTTGTATGGCAAAATAAAACAGTATTTCGAACTGTCTGTCATAATAGATAGTTAAAACTATCACCGTATAATATTTTTATCTTTAAACACTCTCCTACAGTGGCTCAACGGTAAGTCTGGAGGCTTATGACTCTAGAAACCGGGTTTCGATACCCTTGGTGGGCAGAGTACAGATAGCCCATTGTGTAACTTTGAGCTTAATAACAACTAAATCAGCGTTTAAATTACACGTTTTTTTGTGTTTGTTTTATGTTAAAATCATGTACTGTGGGCTTTAGAGTTCTTTGTTACGTCGTCTGGGTTTTGTAACTTGAGGACCAGATTGATTGGGCTAATAAATTAAGATATTTACCGCCGTTGATAATATGGTTGTGTCCCCCAGTATGTCTGCGGACTTACAACGCTAGAAACCGGGTTTCAATACCCATGGTGGGCAGAGCAGAGATAGCCCATTGTGTAGCTTTGTGCTTAACTTTAAACAAATAATATGGTTGTATTATTCGTATTTAGAAAATTCAACAAATAAAAACGGAATATTGAAAAAAAAAACGTTTTTAACGAAATACGCATTCGTTTTTCCGTTGTCGGAGCTTTTTAATAATTGAATAGATATTTAATAATAAGTTCCAACTTATTCCAATTAAAGGCAATAGTTTTACAATGTCTCCTTATCCTAATTTCTTCGTGCCAACTGGACCAGACTTTGTCCTGACGAAGGATAATTAACAGTGTTATAGTTTGTGACGCAATAGTCTGAATAAGAAATCACGTGAGCATGGGGCCGTCTTTGACGCGGTGTACGTTCATGTTTGTGAGCCTAGCTTTACAGAGGGAGGTACACGTATAGAAACACCACTGATACAATAAAAAAATATACAATTGGATCAGTACTGGAGCGAAATCATTAAATACACTAAATCTGTCTTGTCGTTTTACTGTAAATACTTCATTCTGACTTGTTTAGATTATGCTGTATATGAAAACGAGGCTTCATGGGTGATATGGGGGTATGACGTGTTATGATATTTCAGGCACACAGTGATTATCGCTGAATGATATGTACAAAACGTCTTTGATTTCACATATATCTTTGTGTTGTTGTTGGTTCACCTGTATCAGACAAGACAAGAGCTTACTCAACATGACTAACTGAAGCTTAATTTACATCCAGATGCTTTAAATATACATGGCCACTCAACAAAAACTTCAAAATCTAATCACATTTTAGTGTTTAGTCACTAAAACTTAGGTGTGTACAATAAAACTTAGGTGAGTACAATAAAACTTATACACATTATGAACTTATCAACATTCTTGTTGTTTAGATTTACTTCGAGCTTTTAGGAATCTAGATTAGTAACTGTAATGGCCCCTTAAAGATTTTAGGAATCTAGACTAGTAATTGTAATGGCCCCTTAACATTTTTAGGAATCTAGATTAGTAACTGTAATGGCCCCTTAAAGATTTTAGGAATCTAGACTAGTAATTGTAATGGCCCCTTAAAGATTTTAGGAATATAGATTAGTAATTGTAATGGCCCCTTAAAGATTTTAGGAATCTAGATTAGTAATTGTAATGGCCCCTTAAAGATTTTGGGAATCTAGACTAGTAATTGTAATGGCCCCTTAAAGATTTTAGGAATGTAGATTAGTAATTGTAATGGCCCCTTAAAGATTTTAGGAATCTAGATTAGTAACTGTAATGACCCCTTAAAGATTTTAGGAATCTAGACTAGTAATTGTAATGGCCCCTTAAAGACTAGTTTCCTAAAATCTTTAAGGGGCCATTACAATTACTAGTCTAGATTCTTAAAATCTTTAAGGGGCCATTACAATTACTAATCTAGATTCCTAAAATATTTAAGGGGCCATTACAATTATTAATCTAATTCCTAAAATCTTTAAGGGGCCATTACAATTACTAATCTAGATTCCTAAAATCTTTAAGGGGCCATTACAATTACTAATCTAGATTCCTAAAATCTAGTAATTGTAATGGCCCCTTAAAGATTTTAGGAATCTAGATTAGTAATTGTGATGGCCCCTTAAAGATTTTAGGAATCTAGATTAGTAATTGTGATGGCCAGATCCAAATATTCAATTAGTGGCACAACAGTTGACGGTAGGTGCTCTTGATTAAATGCCTTCCTCCAGTCTATTAGTTTAAAATTAGGGATGGTTAAGGCAGGTAACCCTTGTGTAACTTTACGCAAATATCCGAAACAAATTTAAGGTCCCATATTTATGAAAGTTTTGAGGCAGCCCAAATTTTCAAGATCTCCACCCCTTCTATAACAGACTTATTATCCGCCTATTGAACTACCATTCACATATCTCACGTTTGTTTTTTATTTATAGAAAAGCCACATTCGACTGTCTTCTGCGGTCAACGCTGGGAGTCGAACCCCGGATTTTAGCGTTGTAAGTTGGCAAACTTACCACTGACCCACCAGTTGACCTTGTGAGAAGAACACTCAGTTGTCTTACAGATGTTGATATCTCATCCATTTGTTTTCTGTTACAAACTTTAAAGTTAATGGTGTTTAATTGAAGATACGAACTATACATTCATGAGTGTTCCTTATAATCTTGACATTTAATAATTTGACTGAGATATTTCTGCTTATTCCAAAGCAGAAGAATGGGCCGGAGTTTGCAGATGCTGGTCATATTATGAATAATTTGAGACTAACCAGTGACGCTCTCGCTATGTTATAGCACGTGATTATATTTAGAAACTATGTTAAAGAAAAGCTTTCTTATAACTTCAAAAATACGGTAACCTAAGCGACGAAACTAAAATACCATAGAAATGTAATGGCAATTAAGAAGTAAACACAGCATTCAGTTCTATTTAGCATCCTGTGTAGCTAAATTTGGTAAATAAAATAACGATACTTCAACGAGCACTGATATCCAAAATCGAAGTAAAGATATCAGCATGCATGATTACACTGAAAAACCAAAATATTTGACTATAATAGATCGATATTAGAAGCGCATGAAGATATTCGAGAACAAAACAGAAGTAAAGATATTAGCGGAAGTAAAGACATAACCGTACATGATTAAATTGAAAGACCAAAATATTTGACTATAATAGATCGATATTAGAAGCGCATGAAGATATTCGAGAACAAAACAGAAGTAAAGATATCAGCGGAAGTAAATATATTAGAGGAAGTAAAGACATAAGCGTGCATGATTAAATTGAAAAACCAAAACATTTGACTATAATAGATCGATATTAGAAGCGCATGAAGATATTCGAGAACGAAACAGAAGTAAAGTTATCAGCGGAAGTAA